ATTAATAAAAATGCAACTTACTTTTGAAAACGCTTAATATTATGATTAAGCGTTTTTCAATAATTACTTAGTTTTATGAATTTTCTAGTTTTCTAGATTTTACAGGGATTCTGTTGTTACTTTATGACACCAGGTAAGTTCACTGATGAATATATACTCATATTGACCATTCTTGAGCACTGTGTATCTGCCATTATGCCATATGATGATTTCTCTTCACTGGTATTATTGTTAAGTTTATGACTTCCAGATTCTGTAATTGACTCCACCATCAAAGTAAGATACCAAAAGTGTATAGTTGAATAGATATATTCCTGTGCTCCTTAAACCAGATATAATATTTCTTGGAGTCATGGCTATCATATGGGCTTCATTTACAACTTGCGGCAAGTCATATATTGTAACAGTTTTTCCTGGATGGGAACGTAGCCATCCATCCATGGCTCTATTGAATGCATCTTTAAAAGGTCCATATACTGATCTGTCTAAAGACTGGAGACGATGGGACGTGTGTGGGGGGATTGTTAGTAATACAATACCATTTGCACAAGCCAAATCTATACAATTTAAGGATATGTGGGACTCATGGTTGTCAAATATCAGAAGCATTTTCTGGTCCTGGGAACATCGGGTTTGTTGAATAATGTGATTCATGTAGTCTAAAAACAAATTTTCATTTATCCATCCAGTTTTGGTGGCTCTACCAATAGATGAAATGATCCCTATAATTGACGCGGGGAAAAATAAACATAGGTGGCAAAGCATTTCCCACAGCACTCCCTGTATACACACCAGTTACTAGCTCCCCTCTTTCGGCTGATGTTATAGCCCCAACTTGTTTTCTTCCACGCTCTGATACTATGCATTTTGGTTTTTGAACAGTTGTACATCCGGTTTCGTCACAGTTGAAAATTTGAGAAGGTTGGAATTGATATTTGTCTAATACATTTTTTAAATTATCATAGAATTTGTTAACAACTGGTTCATTGCATGCTGACGCTCATGCAAATGATGTTGCCTCTGGACTTCTTAATGATAAATTATATCTTGACCTGAAACCTAGCCACCAATCTGTGCCTGCCTTACCATTTGTAACCCAGCTAACTGGCATATTTATCTGATTTTGAGATGCAAATTTGTACGCAAGTACACGGCATTTAGTTAAAGACAGACCATGAAACATGTCCGCCATAAGTTTGATGTGATTTGCCAAATCCTGTTCCATGTCTGGAGGTATAACAGACTGATTTAATGATACAGCTTTATATCCTGTAGCAGCCTGGGAATCTTTCATTTTCTTCAGTATAAACCTTTTGAGTGTCATTCTATCAATTTGAAAGTCTTTTGACACACTCCGCAAACTTTTTCCATCATCAACTTCTTTGGCAGCTCTTTTCATAACATCAAGAGGAGTTGCATCTCTATCTGTTTTGCGTTTGTAATTTCGCATCTCTCTGAAAGTGTAAGGATAATTTATCAATATATATAATAGACAGGATGTGTTGATGTAATTATGAACATGTGTTGATGATATTGGGGTAAGATGAGCCACATATGGAGCAAGTTGATCGTGGCTCAACATACCCCACTCTGATTATTAAAATTCAACATGGCAGGGCAACAAGCACATGGTTTCTACATTAATATAAGATTGCGTGATCAAAGCCAACATTTCAAACTATTGCACAGTGCAAGAAGATATCAGAAATATGGAATAGTATTGAGGGAATTAAACTACATACCTTAAAACGAATATTTTACTTTTCTTGGTGAAAAACACTCAAAGTTGTTGTTAAGCCTTGTGAAGCCTCTAAATTCTTTGACATTGACATTAAAGGGAAGTAACTATAACATTGTCTTAACAAGTGGACCTTCTAAGTTATACCTCTTCCCAGAAGACATTAAGCGGGGGTGGCTCAACTTACCCCGTGGCTCAACTTATCCCACCCTCCCCTAAGCCTAATACAACGATATTGACCATACTTTTGGCCATAGGCCCTATATGTGAACTTTTTATAAAACAATCTGTTATGTCCAATTCTGGTGAAAATGGGTAATGTCCATAAAACAAATACCTTATATGATGCCTATCTTTGACAGAAAAATGTAAGTCCTGCTGTAATAATTCATTGTGTCATTGACCTTTTTAATATTATCATGTCCAAATATTCCTAAATTTTGCTATGCAAAAGTGATTAAGTCGGACATATCTGTAAAGATCAGTGCATATTTATCAAGAAAATATTGGTAAGTCCATACAAAAATGGCGGATTCTTCTGATTGAACCCCTTTTCCAATAACATTTTAATCAAATTTCAAAACCACAATGGCAACAAATAGAGGTAAGATTTTGTAATTTTATTCTTTGATTGATTTTCTTGCCTTAGTTAGAAAATAAATCGCAAGTTAAATGCACTTTTTGAAATGCTATTCTGGACATAATTAACTTTGCATGATAAAAAGTGAAGACTTGTGAATTTTGGTCTTAAACCTTTCATTATTGAATCAAACATGTGTATTTAGATTTCAAACTAACTTCAAGGCAATCTTGTCAAAAATTTATTTCTGTTCTTTTCAGATAAAAGTCTTAATACATCCATGGTATTAGAAATGATAGAGTTATCCGATTTTGATGATACAGATAATGATCCGTAACGAAACGGAAACTGGGGAGGGCGTCATCTTCTGATGACAATAAACATACAAGATGGAAAACTTAAAAACCCTATTTGGTGGAAGAAAAATGTTAGAAAACGCCTATATAAGAATGGGAAAGAACACATAGATACTTCTGGTAAACATAAAAAACAGAAAGCACCCAAGCAAGTTAATTGTTCCAAATGCAGATTCAAGTGTTTTGAAAATTTCACTGAAGAAGATAGGGTAGAGATATGCCAGGAGTATTGAAATCTGAGAGATTACAAACGACAGAAAGATTTCATATTGTCAAGAACTAAAGCATATGGAATAGAGCGTGAAAGGCCAAGGTCTGCAGAACGTAAACGTAAAAGAAAACACACGATTTCACATTTCTTCATAAAACCGGATGGTTTGCACGTCAAAGTTTGCAAAAAGTTTTTCCTAGCTACATTATGTGTTAGCTTTGGTCCAGTTTATACAGCTTTGGCTGAGAAGGGCGAGGCTGGTAACTTTGTTGGTGAAGGTAAAAGGGGTCATCATACACCGAGTAACAAGACTAGCGAGGAACGATTAGATTTAGTTCGTAAGCATATAGAAAGTTTTCCGAAGATTGAATCACACTACACCAGAAGTGATACCCATCGCCAATACTTAAACCTAGATCTGAGTATAAGTAAGATGTACCAGTTGTATAAATTGTATTGTGATCAATTAGTACCACCAAAAACAAATCCTGTAGAAGAATTAACATACAGAAGATTATTTTGTACTGAATACAACCTTTCCTTCTTTCACCCCAAAAAAGACCAATGCATGAAATGTTCAAAACATGAAATCTTAACAGGCATTGATAACGTCAATTTTGAGGAGGAATACCAGGCTCATCTCCAACGCAGTAAAGAAGCTCAAGCTGCAAAGTCTTCAGATAAATTAAGAGCTACAAAAGATTCAAATTTCATCTCTGCTTCTTTTGATCTTCAAAGCGTTCTTCACCTACCAAATACCAATGCATCCCTCCTCTATTACAGTAGAAAGCTTAGTCTATACAATCTATGTATTTATAATGCAGCCAAACCTAACGATGCATTTTGCTACTGCTGGAACCAAGTTCAAGCTGGGCGTGGAAGATTGGAACCGCTATTTACAATTGGTTATCAGATCTACCGAGTAATATTAGACTTGGAGAGGTATCACTTTTTTCAGATACATGCGGAGGTCAAAACCGGAATCAAAATGTAGCAGCAATGTTTGTACATGCAGTGCAGTCCACTCCTTTAGAAGTCATTTCCCACAATTTTCTAGAGAGTGGGCACAGCTACATGGAATGCGATAGCATGCATTCTGCAATAGAATCTCAAAAACGCAACCTGGATCTTTTCACGATGCTAGATTGGGTTTCAGTCTTGAAAAAAGCCAGACGTAAAAGACCTTACAATGTTGTTAATCTAAAATATAACGACATTTACAATTTTCAAGATGTTGCCCAACAGCTAATGAAGAACAGGAAACGTGACGTAGATGGAAATATAGTAAATTGGCTGCTGGTTAAATCGTTCAGATATCAAAAAAATCAACCAGGTGTAGTACTATACAAATACAATTACGGTGAAGAGTATAAGCAAATTAATGTCTGTGGTCGCAGTCGTCCTTCAATCATCAAACTACCAAAAGCTTACTCCTTCGAAACCCCAATTAGTGAAGCAAAGAAGAATGATCTTGTGTGACCATATGGTAATTCCAGTTGAGATACAACGCTGGTATAGATCGCTACCAACATCTGGAAGATCTAAGGATCGCTTACCATCTCCAGCAGAAGATTCAGATGATGATTGTTGAACATAGTGCTTACATGTAAAATGTAATTCATGTCTAAGAATTTGACTATTTGCGTTTTTTATTCATAAAAGTGATATAATCAAAATTTAAACACAAAAGGTGTTATTGACTTTTATTTTCGTTCACATTAGTTGTGTTTGTTAAAGATTTGATAAACAATTAAATACGTTATGTCCATGTTTTTTCTTTATCACCTTCCGCTAGAAATGATTATGTGTCAATATTTGCATCATTCTTCAACTTATTACATCAATATTAAATATACTCAAAATTGACCGATATATCTCCTTAGATTCTAAATTACATTAAGGTATTATTACTTCCTGATCTTATACAATCTTTTTAAACTTGTGTAAGTCCATTTTTCTCAAAACGACATATTCGGACATAACAGATTCTGGCAGTAAGCCCTCGATATTAGAATAACGTCATTTGATTGGTTTGATATCGGGCTGATATTGAGATAAGAGGTGAAAAGGTCACATTCTCGGCAAGAGGCGCGAATATTTAAGTTCCATATTTTCGGCACCTGATACAAGCAAACTGGCAAAATTCCAGCTTGGGAACATGGATTCTTGGCTTTAGCATTACAATATCAACACACTTTGCTTGAAATTCTTTAATCCCCTTCAAATTTTAAGAAGTGAAACGATATGTACAGACAGTCCATGGTCTAGTCTTTTCTAGTCTCAGTCTATTGCTTTTACTAAGATGAGACTAGGGTACGATTGGTCCAACGAATGACAACCTGTGACTATCAAACACTTACACTAGTATATTTAGCAATCATTACGTATTATATTATGTTTTAAACTTCCGCATAGCTATATAATTTACAGATATTAATCTATCAGGTCACAATGTTCAAGTTGCTGCTCATCTCTCTTCTGGCATTTGAATATAGAAGATGTAAGTATATTTTTTCTTTTTTGATTACCTGATTAATGTTACAATACATTGTAAATATGGATGATGAGCTTTCCCTTTGCCTTTTCATACTATTATGGACCAGTACGAACCGCTAGCACCGATAATGTGGCAAACTATTTATATAATGTTTGAATTTTAATGTTGAACTACACACAATTCATAAAATACCTTCTTCGTTTTACATTTGTCCCCGGAATTTAAATTAAATTGTTATCAAATATGACCACATATAAAACACATGTTCTTGTCTTCATACGATCTAATGATTTAGAACCACTCACGAATGGCATATACAAGACCTAACTGGTCGAATTGATGACAGTGTGACCGCGTATTCCTTTGACAAAAACAGCCACTCTCTATGAATATGAACACTCCGGGGTATTTTTTTCTTATATATCTAATCGGTAGCTGTGTTATTTTATTTTTATGCACATTTGGGTATAGAAGTAGTTTATAAATGTCCAGCTATTACTGCAATTGCGACCATTCAGACAAAGTTTGACATTGTGAATATGGTCAATGGGAAAATGTGTCTTATAATTTTAATTTAAATTAAATTATTAAAATCGACCTCTAACTAGATCATTCTAAGTCATGTTCCATTCACCGAGATTGCTAGAGCATAGCTTTTAGCATAATAGAATAACCTATTCACATTCACAGGTTAACAATGATGTATCTATACACGATATCATTCACTATACGTTTACGTCATTTAATCGTTCATTTGACATGTCATATTTAAATAATAAATATATAACAGTTGACAGAATCTTGCTTAAAGGGGCAATATGCAAAATTTTTATCGCCACAAAAAGTAATAAATTATACCTGAAAATATTATAAATATTATGCTATTTACATGTATCAAACTCAGTTGTACAAGGGTTAATTAAAAAGCAGTGTAATAAGTTTTGATGTACACGTCTGGTGTTCGGCCTCAGGAAGAAACCTGCTGAATAAATAGGAGACATATTTCGCGTTTATTTTGCGTAAATCCACACAGTAGTATTCTTGCACCTACCAAAAAATATAAAATCAACGTAAACGTATTAAATAGTTTTCGTGTTAAAAAACTAATAGCTGGATTTTTTAGTTAAAATTTACAGAAAAGTTAAGGGACACTTCTCTCTACATTTCAGTGTATAGTTTTAATAAATTTTTTTTATTGTTTTTATTTCTTATATCGTTGTATATTTATCTATTTTTATCGTAGTCTAGTATTGGTTGTTTAATGTGTTAACAATGATTTACCCTTACATATAAACTCTGTGATCTTTTTGCGGATGATACTACTATTTATACCTCTGGTAAAACTGTTACTTAAATTGCAAGAAGATGCCGATTCAGTCTTAAACTGGCGTTCTTTAATTGTCATGATTTTAAATGAGAAAAACAAATGTATGTCAAACACAACAGCCCATAAAAGAAAGGATTTAGGAGATTTTTAAATTGAAATTAATTATCAGTTTATTGAACAAGTTAAAAACTTTAAATTTCTTGGTTTTTGGGGAAGGGAGGGTTTGATTCTCCCAAATGCACAGGCCTAGGGTGGAGCAGACACTTTATTTAGAAATTAGGATTAAAGGTCTTGATATTGGGTTTTCTTCTGTTCTGATTCTGATCAGAAGTATAGTATCTATTATGTACTGATTGTTTTTAGTTTATTATGAACAATATTATCATTTAAGTTCTTATTTTTTGCTTGTTGTATTGAACGGGACAACAAAGGGTGCTATGCCTACATTATGATGAATATTTAGTCCTATAGGTCTTGCTGTATTCAATGTCTCAATCCAATTGACGGAATTTGGTAGTTTCATCTTCGGGCAAGTCAATTGCTATGCGCTCAATTGGGATTAGGGTGAGATCGTCTATTGAATGGTCGTCGAGATTGAAATGATTAGAAACAGGCTTGTCTTTCTTTAATTTGATATCCGACCTGTGAGCATTAATACGAGTTCATAAATTATTCTTAGTTTCTCCTACATATTGTTTGGGGCATTTCTTGCATGAAATTAAATATATTACATTCGAATGTTCACATGTTAGCTGTTCCTGGATCGGGAACCTTTTATTCGTAGAGTTGCTTACAAAATAATGAGTTTCTGATGTAAAGGGACATGTTTTGCATCTACTGGACAAACATGGAACACTTCTTAAACCTTGAGGTATTTCGGCATAAAGTCTGTTTTTAGTTGCTATCTGTGCTAAGGTGGAATTTTTTATGTTTCGTAAAAATCGTTTAGAGTACCCACGCTCTTTCAGTTTTGAGAAAACAATCGTACAGGCTTGGTTGAAATCAGAAGATCTTGTGCAAATTTGATGAAATCGTAAAACTTGTGACTTAATTATACCAGAAAAGGTATGTTTTGGGTGAAAGGAGCTCTTGTGCAAGAGTTGATGAGTATCAGTTTCTTTGAAATACACTTTAATATCCAGTTTATTTGTTTCTGCTATGGAATCTCCCTTAAAGACAGTGGTATCGAGAAAGGCTATGCCTTTGTCACTCACGTTTGCGGTTAGTTTGATGGAAGGATGGTGGTTGTTGAGAATTTCAAAGAATTCCTAAAACTCTTTGATAGAATAAGTCTAAACCACAATAATGTCATCCAAAAAGCGTCCGTAAAGAAGTGGATCAAATGGACAGGGGCAACACCTCACGTTCCCACTCTGCCATGAAAAAGTTTGCGTATGGAGGGGCGAATGATTTGTAAATATGTTTTACCATTAAATTTCAAATCGTTTCGACAAATCTCTAAAAGCTGTAGAATTGCATCGTCGGGTCTCTTTGGATCTGGGTTTCTATTAAAAGCTTTACGAACTGCCGTTAAACCAGTAGTGTTATCGATATTGGTATACATAGAAGAAACGTCGATAGAAATTAAAATAGCATTAGAGGGAACTCGAAGATGTTTTATTTTATTGACAAAATCGGTTGTGTCTTTAAGGTAGGCGCGATGTTGACATGCTAGAGGTAGTAAGAAATGATCAATGTATTCTGACACTGCATACGACTTACTACCACAGTCAGATATAATCGAATGGCCTTTAGGGATTTTATTGATTTTTAACTGGTTTTTACTAAATCGGCAAGAATATTGTTAATCATATTAAGGTAGGTGGTAGAGGTCGATGGAAGACAGGGCCGTTGTAGGGTACGTGATACTGGTTTGGTTGACGATTAGTGTTTCTCTGTCTGGCTTCTTGTCAGTGGTTGTTGTAGTTAGGGAGCATAATGAAAATAACTTGAGGTTAGAAAGGGAATGTACAGCGGATGTAACAGGAGGAAACTGTGTATGCTAGCGTGAAAATGTGGGGATCAAATTATGCAAATAAGTCAAACTGGGTTTGGGGATATATAAAGTAAGATGAAAGTTATGATGAAAAATGCAAAAATATATATTTAGGTGATAAATAACGCTAACAATGATGTGAAAAAATAAAATAAGTAAAACAAAAACTTACGC